AGGAGCTCACATGCGCAAATGCAGCATGCGCATTCAAGTCATATATGAGTCATGCATGCTTGAGGTAGTTAGAGTCAGTGCTGGAAGGGCTGAAGTCAAGACATTGCTGTGTGCAGTGCAGGCTACCACAAAGGAGCAGGCAAAAGTGCCGGCAAAAGCACCTGTCAAAGAGCCTGCGAAGGAGCCGGCCAAGGAGCCGGCCAAGGAGCCGGCAAAGGAGCCAGCAAAGGAGCCGGCCAAGGAGCCGGCCAAGGAGTCTGCCAAGGAGCAGAAACGGGAGACCAATGGAGTTGCACCACCGCAGGCAAGTTGCGGGCCTGCTTTAGGGAGGGGAGGGGAGGGGAGGGGAGGGGAGGGGAGGGGAGGGGAGGGGAGGGGAGGGGAGGGGAGGGGAGGGGAGAGGAGAGGAGGGGAGAGGACGGGGGATGCATTGCGCCAGGCGGTGCAGACTTCAGCAACCGCCCCAGATTTCGGAATCTCAAAACTTTGGTCTCAGCACCAATGTTTTGCAAGGCCAAAGATGCAGATAAAGAAAGAGTGCAAAAAGAGATTGACGAGGCGGCAATTTGAGAGCCATTCTCGGTCATTTGCGCGCTGATTATGCCCCAGGTGCTCGGCACAGTACAGGATTCGCCGCGGCCAAAGACTTTTACCGCAACATGATAGTACCAGCAAACAGAGTACGGCCTGTTCACATGCAAGCTCGCACATCCACACGCCAGCTCTGCAGCCCGAGCAGAAAGGCCAACACACACACAGAGATGCGGACAGACACACAAGTTCAAAAACACACACAGTCAAACAAATGTGTGTTTGTGTGTGTGTGTTTGTCTGTGTGTGTGTGTGTGTTGTGTGTTTGTTTGTTTGTTTGTGTTTGTGTTTGTGTTTGTGTTTGTGTTTGTGTTTGTGTTTGTCTTTGTGTTTGTGTTTGTGTTTGTGTTTGTGTTTGTGTTTGTGTGTGTGTGTGTGTGTGTGTGTCTGTGTGTCTGTGTGTTTGTGTGTTTGTGTGTTTGTGTGTTTGTGTGTCTGTGTGTCTGTGTGTCTGTGCGTCTGTGCGTCTGTGCGTCTGTGTGTCTGTGTGTCTGTGTGTCTGTGTGTCTGTGTGTTTGTGTGTCTGTGTGTCTGTGCGTGTGTGTCTGTGTGTGTCTCCGCGTGTTTCTGCGTGCGTGCGTGTCTTTGATTGTTGTTTCTTGTTCTTTTGGTTCTTGCACTTGTGGTGGCTGTTTTCCGTTGAGTTCTCTTTTTAAGTTTCCTGATTCTGAACTGGCTTGTCAGAATTAGCTACCCGCAAACCCGTTGCCCCAAATACACCAGGAATGGCATAGGCATGTTTTTTTTTTTTTTTGCTGACAGACGCGGGAACTGATCGAAGCAAATTCGACGATCCCTGGCCAAAACTCACCTCCTTGACTGTGCCATGCACCCACCCTCACCCTTACCCCAACCCAACTGCACTGAGTGCGCACCAGCCTGCCCCAACCTACCTCACATGCTGTGTACAGAACTTATGCCAGAGCATGCCCACCCTTCTTCAGGGATGCATTGCTATGTTGCACTCCGACCACTCTCCTTCGGCTACAGGCTGACCTCAGCATATCTTAGCAGACCATCAGCTGAGCAGAAGCCTTCCTTGGCTTGACGAATGCGTGCAGGTGCGTGTGCGAGCAAACAAGCCTGTGCAAGTGCATGCGCATATGCGTCTGCATGCGTGCATTCATGCGTGCGCATGCGTGTGAGTGCGGTGCGCCAGCAGGCATGCTTGCTGCGTTTGTGTGCGCGCACACATGCAAGGCAAGCAAGCGCAAGCAAGGCAAGCAAGGCAAGCAAGGCAAGCAAGGCAAGCAAGGCAAGCAAGGCAAGCAAGGCAAGCAAGGCAAGCAAGGCAAGCAAGGCAAGCAAGGCAAGCAAGGCAAGCAAGGCAAGCAAGGCAAGCAAGGCAAGCAAGGCAAGCAGGCAGGCAAGGAGGGAGGGAGGGAGGGAGGGAGGGAGGGAGGGAAGGAAGGAAGGAATGACGGAAGGAATGATGGAAGGAAAAGCGGGGAGGGGAACGAAGGAAGGAAGGACAAGAGAGGAAAGGAAGGAAGGAAGGAAGGAAGGAAGGAAGGAAGGAAGGAAGGAAGGAAGGAAGGAAGGAAGGAAGGAAGGAAGGAAGGAGGGAATGATTTTGGCATTTGGGTGTATATCGGAACTGTTTATGGCGTAGATTTGGATGGTCTGGCACAATTGTGCTTGTTTCATCGGGGCTCAGGAAAATACTCCAAGACATGGTAAGAAACAAGGCAGCATACCCTGGTCAGGCAAATATAGATCAGACAAGAGACGCACAAGTCTTGCGCAGCTGAAAGAGTCTACACATGGCATGACCGTTTCAGCAGCGTTGCTTGATGTGAGGTCGCAAGTGCGGTATTTGCTGGAGGTAAAGATAGTGTCCGCGCACAATGTGCCTGCCAGCGAGGGGCAGCCGTTTGCCGCTTGGCAGCTCGCAGGGTTGGAGGATGGGAGATTTCAACGAAGGCCTTCACAGGTGCAGCGGCTATTTTCATGAAAGCTGGCCACAGTTTGTTCAACTAATGCCTGCGGGTCCGCCCTTCGCAATGTCCTGCCTGAAAGTTGTCCGATGTCAAGCAAGTCTTGCTGGAGGTGTTTGTGATTCCGATGCTGCGGTTTTCTGCTTGCTGGGGCCTGCCCAATTCGGTGCGTGCATGTTTGACTGGCTGGTGCTCTCTGCTTTGTGGGCCTGATTCTACCTCCGCACATTGCCAACAGCTTAGTGAAGCACGTGCACTGGAGTACTTGATGTTCGTCCGGTGTAAGGTCGTCGGCCTGGCCAGATGCATCCTTGGCTGCACTTTCTGTGTTGCTGCTTTCAAGCCATGGGGCTCTCGGCATCTCGGCATCTGACTTCCCAGGCAACAACCCGGTGAAGTTTCGCACCAAGACCTCCAACACCCGATCCAAAGCCGATGCTTATCAGCACAAAGCTGCAGGAGGGTTTATTCTACATGTGCTTCGATCCCGCGGAACATCTCCTTAAAACTTGAGCAACAGCAGCTTGCTACTCTCTGATGTTTCGGAAGCCGCCTAGGTGTGGAATCAAGCCTCGAAGCTGCAGATTGCCCACGGTGACTTTCTGACATTCAGAGTCCAAGACGTGGACTGCACTGTGCACGCTGAGCTGTTTGCATTTGGCTGTGGGTTATCAGTTCCAGCACTTGCCTACACTTGCCTTGCATGCACTTGCCCGCGCTTTTCTGCGCTTGCCTGCGGTTTCCTGCGCTTGCCTGCGCTTGCCCACACTTGCCTGCACTTGGCCGCGCTCACCCGCGCTCACCCGCGCTTGCTTGCACTTGCTCAGACTTGCCCGCGCTTGCTTGCGCTTGCCCGCCCTTTCCTTCGCTTCACTTGCCGGCGCACGCCCGCATTTGCCCATGCTTGCCCGCGCTTGCCGGCACTTGCCTGTGCTTGCCTGTGCTTGCCCGTGCTTGCCCGCGCACGCCCGCATTGCCCACGCTTGCCCGCGCTTGCCTGTGCTTATCCGCGCTTGCTTGGGTTGCCCAAGCTTGCCGGCACTTGCCGGCTTTCTTGCACTTGCTTGGGCTTTGCTGCAGGACTCTGAGGATCCCATGTCTTTTCTCTCGCGGGCTATGCTCGGCTTCGATCGCATGGTGCCTTCAGGCTGGACCATCGCATCTTTTACTGGACAACTGTATGCATCCTTCTCCCCTTTCGCCTTGCACTTTGGCCTGACCAACAGGCTTTGAGGACGAACTCCCGCTGGAGGATGCGTCTGGCACTGCAGTGCTGCCCTTATTCTTAAGCCATGCTTTTGTCTTGGCCAATGTCTGGCGCTGGATGCAATTTGCTCCTTTAGGTTGACAATGCGCTCATCAAGGCCAGCCACTTGTAACGCTCACTGGATTTGATGGTGCAGGTATTGGCAGTTCACACTTTGACCTTACCATCGCCTGTGAAGGTTCGTGTGAGAGTCCAGGGAGCTTGTGCCGCCACGTCACTTGAAGCGTGATGTTTGAGCCGAATGGAGCAGCCACTTGCTGAAAAATTGGGTGCATGAATGCATCACAGCTTTTCAGCACTTCAGAACTGCCAATTAGCACATTCCGGGAACAAAGTGCAAAACTGCAGTCGAGCCAAAATAAGTCATAGTTCAGAGGGTGTTTGCTTATTCTTGTGCCAGTGTTCCCCGTTATCCGGATTCTAGCAGTGCCTCAATGCAGTAACCTGCTTGCTGAATCGAGCAGCTGTGCCGTTTTTACGGGCTGAGTGCCACCACCTTGCTCAGCACAGCGCGCAGCTGCAAGACAATTCCTGTTTCACCGAGTGCCGGCACTTGGCATCCAGCCAAACTTGCAGCTAGGCCATGATCCAAACTCTTTTGGGTGCATTTCTGTTTGCATTTTTCTCGGCGCTTGGCAACCGAGTGAACGTTGTCCACAGTAAGCTTGCCCGAATGGACAGAAGGCTGGATGGCGCGCGAAGCCCGCGCTGCATTCGCAGTTTGCAGATGGAGGTGGTGACGAGCGGGCATTGTAGACATGCATGTTTTCGCCAGTTGCGGTGCATCGAAAAGTGCACACTACTTGCATGAGAACCTGGTGGCTAAGGCATGGCAGGGCTTGTAACTTGTATCGCCTCTTTGCTTTTTGCTGCCGGCATGCGGTTGAAAGCCAGAGCTGCGCATCTGCCGTTTCGCAAGCACGAGCGGAATGATAGTGGCCGGTGGCCATCGCAGCCCCCGTTCTGCAATTCCGACTTGTGATCGCCGGTGCCGCACGGCCGCAGTACTGAGGGTATCCGGGCTAGGCAGCCCATTTGAGCGTTGCATATTCTCTTGATGGTTGATTGGTTGGAACCGGTGGGTCAGTCTAGCCCCATACTGCGAGTCCACCCGCCGCTCCTTTTCCTTGATCAGGCTTGATTGATTTAGATAAAAGTGTGATTCAGCTGAACTTGGATGTGGCCTTGATGTTGATCAGTTGTCCGTTGGGTATCCTGATGAAACAAATATTCCCAATTGTGTTGTGTCGCTCTGACATCGCACGTTGTGCCTGAGGAGAATGGGCGCTTTGCACCCTAAGTGCTGCGCAGTGCAGGCTCAGTCCGCTGTCGCTGGGGAGAATGTTTGTGCATGTGCTCGCTGACGAGCTGCTTCTGCTTGCGTGCCTGCTGAGCAGAAGTGCCTGGGCAGGAGGTGCAGAACAATACTGCTGAAGCAGTGTCAGAAGCCAAATTGGTGAGTGATCAGCCGATACCTCCTTTGGGAAAGCCACTCTGGCTCTCAGAGGCTGGGATGGCAGGGGTCGAGTAGTTTGTACCTGTCACCTTTGCACCGGGATTTTGGTGCATTATAGTCTGAGTAGGTAGGGGAACCTGGATTTGTTAAGTTGGGAGGGTCTTCAGGAAGCTGGGCAGGGAGCGAGTGCGTGTGTGGCTAGAGGTAGCTCGGAGTTCTTCGGTTGCTTTGCTGCTGCAGTTGAATCTACCCGTGCAGGCAGAGGAATACGTTGCAATGCAGACGCTTGGCATTTAACGCTGGCAAGCCGGAAGATGGTAGACATGGGGTGGGGGAGCTGGGCAATCAGAGCTGGAGTGAAGCAATAGAGTGTCCATGTTTGTGCCGGCACGTTGAGGAAGCAAAAGGAGGCAGAGGCAGCACAAAGCGGAAGCCTCAGAAGCTCAGGGCTGGCAGTATCTTTCTTCACGCCGTTGCGATGCTGGTTGTGCAGCAGCTTTGCTGCCAGCAAAGCTGAGAAGCAACAAGCTCCTGCAAGCGTACAAAGTTCCAAGCTGCTTGTGCTCGTCAAATTCTTTGAGACATGTTTGCACCACATGCCTGAGGAATTCAGCAGATAGCAGCTGAAAGAGCAGCAGAGGAGGAAAGAAAAGCAAAAGAGGAGGAGCAAAAGAAGGCCTGGAGAGCTTGGATGAAGAAACCATGGCAGCACGCATTCACCCCCCCACCCACGCGCCCGCCCGCCCCGCCCGCCCCACCCGCCCCGCCCGCCCGCACGTGCTTGCAGGCGCCCACACACGCACACGCACACACGCCCGCACTTCCATCCATACCCGCACCCGTACCCACATACAAACATGAGCTGGGCCGTGCAGGAAGATGCGGCAGCCAAAGCAGCCAAGGACGTTGAGCTTGCTTTCCAAGTGCAAGTGCAAGTCAAGCATTGGCTACAACTTGGGCGACTTTGCATGCAAACACGGAAGGAAGCCGAGAAGAAGAAAAAGACAACATCTCCGAACTTGGGATTCGATTTGTTGCACGATAGCTGTATCATGCCAAGTTTGGGGGTGTTGGACATGCTTGGGGGTGTCACCTTGGCATGCCCTGCACTGTACGGTATCGCAAGACCCCAAGCATTCAGGGCCTTGGTCCTGACCAATACGTGCGCTCCAAGGAAAAAAGTGGCAGCGCCAAAGGTGCCGAAGCCCGAAGAGGCCCCAAAGCCTGACAAGGAAAAGGAGAAGGAGCCGGAGCCAAAGCACGACGCGGAAGCAAAGTTTTTCGACCGCAGTTGGGATGTGTAACCCATGCCTTGGCTTTTAGGGCCGCAACGAATGGCATTGATTTACTGGCCCCCTCAGGATGGACAACGCCGCCAACAAAGCCAAAGATGCTGACATGCGCTTTGAGTTCGAGGCCGTGATTCTGACGTTTTCTGGCGTTTTTACAGCTACACCTGGGCAGGTCAAATGTGTTTCAGCTCGCGGCTTGCGAGACGCGGACTGGCTAGAAGGAACTTCGGATCCTTACTGCCTTTGCGAAGCAGTCGGCAAGGCTGGCAAACTCAGAGCCTGTGAACATTGAGTGACAAGATTGTGAGCTGTGCAAGTGAATGCTCCACGCCAGGTACGGTCAAAATTCAAGACGAAGACTGTCAACAACAAGGAGAATCCGGCAAAGATCTCAACCATTCCCTTACACACAGACCTCCGCCCATGCATGACTCAGGTCTGGAACCAAGCTGCAAAGATGCAGTTGTCAAATGGGGACAAGCTGAAATTCTCCGTGTACGATCAGGTGCGGCGGATGCATGCTTGCACGTGAGCTTGAGCCATTGAGTTGCATGTCCACAGCTTTCAGCCTTTCAGCGCATGCTGCAACCCGCATTTTCCGGTTCCGGTGCACCTCTTGCTCAAGTGGAGGGTTCATTGGGCGCGCCTCCGGCACAGCTGTCAACGTGAAGTCCTCCGGTATGAGGACAGACTGGCAACACATGCGCACATGCCAGCAGGGAAAAGTGGATGTCGCAAGAGCTCGCAAAGAAGCTTGAACCGCGGATGCCTTACATATCGCAAGTAGGGGAACGGGGGAAGCCCTATCTTACCGCAATCTACCAGTGTTTTGTACTTTGGCGTTGTTGGTTCGCTTGATTCAGAGACTCTACCGTAAGTTGGCTTACGAGTTGCATTACCTGGCTCAGCTCCATCTTCATTCTATCGATTGTCCTTGCCCTTTTGCCTGTCTAGGAGGGGGCTACTAAAATGCTTCCTCCTCAATGTGGCCTATTGCATGGCTGAAGAGACTTGCGCAGCAGCTGGAGGCCAGCTGAATGTCACGAGCGGTTTAGGCTGCACGCTATCCTAAAGCGTGCTGCACAGGTGCCTGCCAAGCTCCGGACGAGGTTCCAACCAAGGTCAGGATGGCATCGGCACCAGCGCCTCCAGCACCGCAAGTTGACCTGATAACGCAGGCAGGGCGGCAGGGCTGAGCTGAGCCTCTGGGCCCTTACTGCGTCACACTGAGCCCTCGCCAGGAAATGGAAGAGCTGAAGTCATTATTGAAGTTGGGGGAAGAACGAATGAGCTTCCTCAACGAGTTGCAAGGAGACCTGCGTTTGTTTCTGTGATAGCTTTTCCTTTTCACGCTTCAAGCAAAACTGCAGGAGCGGCAAATAGGAAAGATCTACCACTGTCATCGGCCCAAGTCCAAGCACTCACGGAGGAGCTCCCTTTACTTGCAGAGGTTGCCAGCCAGGGAGAGAGAGAGCCCGTTGCTGCGGCAGCAGACTTTCTTGTGATGAAGGCCGTGTTGCCCTTGGCAGAGCCTGCGGCACACGTGGAGTGGGTGCTCCTCCGAAATCCACGGCCTTCCGCAGCTTCGGCCCCTTCCACATCCACGCCGCACTCACAGATGCCCACTTGCATATTGGCCGCAGCCCAACCAGATGGCAATGTCCAGCTGTTCAGCCCGAATGGGGAGCTTTTGTTGAGCTTCAGCACAGGCCATGAACAACCAATCACGCACATGACAACCTCGCCAACTCATGAGGAGCACCTCATTGCAACTGGAGAGGCGAGCGGCGTCATTCGCCTGCACAGAGTCTCCGTGCGCCAGCGCCGGGTGTCCAAGGAGGAGAAAGTATCCAGGTCAAACTCAACAGATGAAAAAGTCTCGCAGTTCATGGGCTCCCAGCTTAATGTGACCGTCCAATTGCAGAGGCAAGTTCAGCTGCCAAGTGGTGGCGAAGATCCCCCAACCCTTACCGCGCTGGCCATTGCCAACCACAAAAGCAACAGAGAAATCGTTGCTGGTGATTCCAGTGGTCGCATCAGCGTATTTGCCAAGAATGGGACGCTGAAAAGCCATATTGATGCGACAGCTATGGAGGGTCCTGGGGTAGAAGGCCTGCATTCTTATCACAGCCAAGTCCTATTCAGGGCTGGAATGGAATGGGGCTACGTCAGCTTGGACAAGGCAGATGTCAAGCACATGGATTGTCCAAAGTTTGAGGCGGGATGATGTTTACTGTCCACAGCACAGCGAAGAAGCACATGTTTGCGTCCAATCCAGGGCCGAGTGGCCGACATCGCGGTGGACAGTCAACAGCTGTCCAAGGTTCTTCTGTCTGATGAAAGCGGTGCGGCTACTTTGCCTGAATGGGCGCTGTGAAGCTAGATTGTGCAGCCACGTCTCGCATGTCAGGTTTGGGTCTTCAATGTCAGTGTCCCGGGCGTGACACAGGGCAAATACAAGCAGGCTGCCATCAAATTGTGCTGCGCCAAGGTCAAGAATCGGAAGGACTGTGAGCTGGAGAAGAAGTTTCCACCTGCTGCAAGCAACAAGGCCTGCGGTGAAAATGGGCCTCCATGCAGCCAGGCGCTTACAAAGTTGGTGGCGCTCCCGTTTGCCCAGCCAGGCACCTCTTGAGTTGGCGACCATCCGCGGCTTTGCCTCTTGGACTGCGGATGCATGCCATGTTTGTTATCATTGTTGCATTTGTGGCTCCGGTAGGCATGTGTTGCATGGTGAATTTAGGTCATTGGCGTGCAGACGTCGCTTGATACATCGTCCATTTTGGTGCTGCCCTTGGGCTTGCACCAGTTCAGAACTGCCAGTAGGTTTTTGGAGCCCTATTTTTAGCATCCCATTTGGATGCATTGCAGGCGCTGAACATGAGCCAGCACGTTGGCCGCAGACGCCCAGGAGAGATAGGCAGGCTGTTCCAAGGGAGAGAAGCTTTGCGCATTATGTCTAGCTGTCCCCATGCGTGTTGGAGGACATCTAACTCATTTTGTGTGGAGAGTTTTGATACGCCAACATTAGCCCAATGGTCGAACATGGCTGCCAGGCTCAGGCGGGCATGTGATATGGCGACGCCAGCGGCCGTCCGTTCGTGACTGGAGTGTGCACACCTTGGCCTTCTGTTTGTGAATGTCAAGATGCACTATGTATGGGCCGTGCTGGCTTAGGTACAAAAGAAGCAGCACGGTGACTTGATTGCCCTTTTGTCCGAAGATGGTCGAGAAGTGGAAATTGTGGAAGTTCTGATGCAGGCCCAAGTTGCTCACTCCTTCTTGTTGCCTCTTGGCTGGCGTAGGTTTACACTCCGCCGCCTTCCAGCGACCCGTTCTCTAACTTCAAGCTGCCAGTCATGGCGGGTGCCGTCATACTTCTGCTAGGTGGGGAGCAGTATTGCTATAGAAACTACTCAACTGCATTGGCTGCATTGGGTTGGGGCTATGAGCACTCTATGACCGCTCCCTGCAGGCTACCAGTTCATGAAGCAGAAAGGCAAAGGAGGCCGTGAAGCCATTTGCGCCATCATAGCCGATGCTTTGTCATGGCCATCGCCAGGTGCTACAGGCCTTGGCGGCCTGGGGAACAGAGGAGGGAAGTTTGGCAAAAGCGACTTTGCTGGCCGGACGCCTGGGTCGAGCGACTTGCAAGGGAAGGCAATTGCGAAATCTTGGCGTGCTTTCACACGTAGCTGCATGTTTTTCCACGGAAAAGGCCTTCTCAATAAGAAGAAGATGGGCGGCCTCGGTGGCATGAAAGGCAAAAGGTGGGCCCGACATGTTAGCCATGCCTCAGCACTCCTGCGCTTGTTGGAGGTGAATTCCCAGCGACTTCTCGTCGCCAGTTCTGTGCGCAGGCCTGGCGTGTGCGAAACCTGGCAGAAGTTTCTCCCTTGCACAGCCCTGCCTCCATGCGCCTGGCTACGAAGCGAGAACGCAAAGGAGCGCAGCCCTATCCTACGCTGCGCAAACCACAGGCAACGTGCACACCATTTCAATCGCCCGCTTTGTATGCATGCGACAGTTTCTCTACCTTTGCTTTGCTTTGCGCAGGCCGGAAGCAAGCTTCAAACTTTAACTTGCTTGTGGCAAGCAGGGCTAACTAGTGGCGCAAAGACTGCAGTCCACAAATGATGCTGCATACATGCCATAAAACAAGCTTTGCTACCAGCACAGCCGGCAAAGCCAGGAGGCGGAAGTTTCAATTTAATAAAGCAGCTATAGGCTGGCATGTAGCTGCTTGCAATGGCATGCATGCGCGCTTTTTTCTTTCTTTTTTTTTGTGTGTGTGTGTGTGCGTGTGCAGAGTCACATTGGCTATTGAACCACTTAGCTGGCTAGGTGGTTAAGTTAGCTAGTTAGTTGGTTAGCTAGCCAGCTTGGCTAGCTGGCCGATTGCCGCCTATTGGCTAGTTTGCTAGGTAGCTAGTTTGCCAGTTAAGCAGTCAGCTCGGATAGCTAGTTAACCAGCTAGCTAGTCCGCTAGTTGCCTTAGGCTCGAGTGGAGGCCTCCCTTCTGCCCATCCTTCAGCATGGTATCGCCACTGGGTGGTGGGGCCTTTCCTGGCCCTATCACTGCTCATCGGTTTTCCAGCTCTTCTGCCTCGCTGCTGCCTCCTTCCTCTTGGGCGTTCTTGTCACTGTCTTCCTCTTCTGGGCGTGTCCGGCCTCCGATCTGAGCCCGCCTCGGGCCCGGCCTTCAAGGCTATGTGCATGAGTGAGCCGAGCCGCATGGGTGACGCTCTTTGTGCCGCCATCCAAGGTCTTGCGGTTTGCTGCCCCATTAGGCACCTCAATGCCGGATCCTTCTGCCCTGGTCACTGCCTTGCTTTGTGCTGTCGGCTTTCTTTGGCCGGAAATTTCTAGTTCAGAGCAGAGTGCGCTTGGAGGGCTTAGGCTGTCTGCACGAGCTTTTCCGGAGGGCTCCATCGCTGCCCCAAAGATCGACCGTTTTCGTTGTGCTGCGTGCGTTTGGTGTCTCCTCACGGGAGTTGGATCCATCGTTGAGCTTCGCTCGCTCCTCAGCTCATTTCATCTCAGTTCGGCAGTGTACCACTCTTTTCTTTCCGGGCATGCAGGGTTTGACCCATCTCGCCGCCTCGAATCATCGGTAGCCGTGATGGCTCCTATGATGGCCGTCCGTGCTGCAACCTGCATGGAATCTCGCTTTCAGTCGGATCATGTGGCAACTTCCTGGGCAGGCTCTCATGGCGGTTGCCCTCGCATGGGGAGGGCTACTCCAAATAGGCGTACTAGCGACCCGCGCAAACCTTTGCTGCCAGCGGATGTGGCTTATACACTGGCCAGGCACAAGTTGCGCTTCTTGAAGGTCTGAGCGATTAGAACCCCATTCGCCCTAGAATCCTTCAGGAAGAGACCTAGGGGGTGTGTGCGCGGGCAGTTTTGGACCTGGGAAGCCTTTTACTCGGTCAGCAAAGGTTGACCAGCCTCAGCTTTTGCAGGTTATTTCAGCTGTGGTTGCTTCATTGGTGACAAAGGATTCGCCTTTTGGTCCGGAGATGGGCTGCCCAAAAGTCATGGAGATTTATCCAGGCCTTACAGGCACAAGAGCCTCTTGGCGCTACGCAGAGCCTCCGGTGTCGTTGTACGGAAGTGCTGTTGCGTGGCATCTATAGGCAAGCACGCTTGCTGGTGTGGAAGCTGTCATGGCGCGCAGCAAACCATTTGAGTGGTATAGCGTGTGTTACACAAATGTCATGCAACCATGATGACATGCTTGTGATGTCATGCGGGTGTGCATGGTATAGTGCCTTGGTGCCTTCTTTTCTTCACCCGATCTGATGTTGTTTGCACAGCTTGCTTGTTTTTCTTGTTGAGCCTATACAAAATCCATGCCTTTACCACCAATCCACGCTACCATCATGCATTTTGAGCCATTCTGTTCAGGGCTCATCAGGAAAAGTTGTGAAACGATAGCCAGGCCGTTGCTGCAGTGGCCAACCAGGAGCCACTATACGAGTTTTTTGTTGTTGCATCAGCATGGTACATTGACAAGGACTGTGTGCTTCACGTACTTCGCGTGACAGCGAATGCTCGTTGTATCATGTCCTGGGGCCAAAGGATAAAACCTTTTTGAAAGGGGGACAAATACTTACGGCTTGACTCGGCCTGGGCAGGCGACGGATGTTCTTCGTGACGTTGTGCCTAGGGCAGTGTTTGCAACGCATGCTGAGCGTGGAGTTGTCTTCAATTCAGGATGGTCACAGGCAAGTCTGCATGTGGGCTGGGAAAGGTGTCCAGTCTGTGCAGCGCACAATTCAGGCAGATCAAAAAGCAAGCTTGCAAAGCGTGATTGGCAGCCTGTTGCTGTGCATCAGTGCCTCGATGGAATGCCACGTGTCTCGTCTAGCTCTGTCTGACATTGAGGACATGGGAAAAAGTGATGACTTTCTGGGCTACACCGAGCTGGAGTTTGGCCAGATTTTTCCGAAAGGCCAGATCAGACTGCCTGGGGAGGAGAGGCTATGTTGAGAGCAGCACGGATGTGCAAGGCCCTTGACCGCTGCGAATAGTTTCTAGTTGTACCAGTGGTTGAAGGTTGTGTTCGGACAGCGCCCTTCGTTGTGGACATGACTCTTTCATGCATTGAGGCACCCCCTTCATCTTCTTGATGCTTACGCAGTTTTGTTGTGTGTCCATATCATTTGTTGTTGTTGGAGTGGGAAGGCCTCAGGGAATTCGCATTTCCGTTTGATTTGTGCAGATGTGCCCTGCGTCCATCCCTTTAGGCACCTAGGTTGCTGCAAAAGGGAAGCCGAATCCCTCCAACCACCCAACCCAGACTGCCACCCTGTTTTGTCTCACATTCCAGGATCAACACCGGCACAAAACTGTCAGGCTTTGAAGGTGAGCTTGCGCTCAAAGATGCTTCGGAGACAGCCGTCAAGCAGGAAGCTTTCCTCAAGGCAGGAATAGACACAGTCAGCATCAATCAAGCAGGCGCTTTGCATGGCATTGCCTGAGATAGTCTGGTTTTGAGCTTGATGCGCTGCTTTCAGCATGCAGGTGCGGGTCAGACACCTGGGGACAGTGACGGAGAAGTGAGATTGCAAGATGCAGCAAATGCTCAGATTTTGCGAGCCTTTCTCCGTCAGCATTGTGATCTTGGCTTTGGGTAGACTCCGTGCTTAGCACACTTAGCTTTCAAGAGTCATGCATGCAGGCAGCGTTGGCAACCGCGCTTGCCGCTGCATGTCGGCTTTCCTTTGCTCTTGGCGCTGGCCATGAGGCACGGTGGCACCGTGGCCATGCACCTGGAAGGGTCACTTCAGGGCAACGGCGCAATTCGTTTTTTGCCAAGCGGCAGCGAAGTCTGCCTTTCACTTTGAAGGTCTGCAAGAGGCTGACCTTCCGGCTCAGATGGGAGCCCAGCCGCGCCGGCACCGGGCACTGTTTCACGGTCTTGCGGCTTCTGTAGGTGTTTCACCAGCTCACGCAAGTACGATTCGCGACGCCGAACAGTGCGTACACCTCCAGCCCTGCATTTGGACGCAGCGATTCAAGACTTGTACGACCCACAGATTGTGAAGCATCCAAAGCTAGGAGCTGTAGCCAGACCAGTGTCGTAACACGATCCGTGGTCTCCACACATATTATGTCGTTCTCACGTCCAGCAAATTGCAGCCGCGTTGCTCAGTGGCGATCTGGCTGACAAGCCAGCCATGCGTTTTGACTGCATTAGGGCCGGAGCTTCTCGCAAGGTTTGCAGGCGCTTTGGCCGTGCTCGACGGCTGCTGAGTTCGCATCATTTGCCACGCTTGCAACCAGATTGGTTGCTGTCCTTGTCGTGGAGTGCATGAAGGATTGCAATCTTGCATTTGCCCAGGATTGCGCGCAGGTGATGCCTCATGCCAAACGGAAAAAGTCTAACCCGGCCACACTCTGGCAGCGACCTGCCTGCAAAAGTGAGCACACCTCCACTGATGCACATGCAGCGTCAGAGCAGTGTCTTGATTCAGCTTGCCAGTGAGCTGCGCCAGGAGTCCCAAGAAGAGGGACCGTCAGTTGAAGCGAGCTGCGGCTCACACGGGATACTCAGATGCATTTGCCCCATGTCATATGAGAATGCGTCAACGTGAGCCTGGCACTGCCACCCCAGGCGAGTCTAGAAGAGAGAGGCAGCGTCTCAGTGATGGATTCATACCGAGCCTCACTTAAGCGCACTTTTTTTGCTTTGTACGTCTTCTGCGGGTGAGGAGTGCACTATAAAGGCAAAGCTTGGTGGAACAGTTGTGGCTGGGAAGCTATGTTTGAGCTTCCTGACTAAAGGAGAGATGAAAATTCGATCCATCTCTGCCCTTTGCCACCGTCAATCGAGACCAAGCCACAAGGCAGCAACAATCAGGAGCATCTTGCGGTCAGTGTGTGCCGGTTCATGATTTGGTACGCTGCAGATGCCAAGGTACGAAGTCAAAGATGCATTAGAGCTGGTGTTTGGACCAGCTACTCAGCGGTGCCAAACTGGACTGGGAACCTTGCAGAGCTGATTCTCCTTGCGCTTGTTTTGTGTTGATTGTCACCGGGCAAGGTTTCGCACGTACATTTAGATCGGACTCTGAAATTTGGATTTGCCCGCTTTGCGGAAGAGAAGAGTGCCTGGGTTGAATTTTGAAGTCCGGACACTTCACCACTTCTCTATGGATTCCCTCCTTTCCCGCATTGCCTCTTTCAGTAAGGCACAGCTGCAGCACTGCAGCTGGGCTCTTTTGAGTTCCTCAATGAGACTGTGGAGATGAAGTCAGCTTGCAAGGAGTCTGGCAACGGCTTTGCCACAGCTCATGACCGAATCGCGCCTAACGCCCATGGTTCGGGGGTCACGCAGGCAAAATCAAATGAGTGACGTACGGCCTGCATCTGAGCCGGCCGATAAGCTTGAAGCTTGCTCCAGGGCCGCAAGCGCACGCACGATGCTGCATTCGTGGGCGAGCCATCCGGGCTTGACCTCCACGGCCTAGAGGAGGACTGAAGAACCCAGTTTCAACACTCTTAGGGCCCTGTGCCCAGCATTCTGCCACTGCAGGACCCGGGCGACATTGCCATGCCCAGCATGGACGACATGGAGCCAGCAGAAGCGTTCGAGGCCACAGCTGGACTTGTTGCTCCGATTCAAAGCGTGACCTTCAACAGCATGCCACACGTGCACTCTTTGTTGCCTGCGCAAACTCCAGGCAGGCCTTGAGCCGATGGAAGAAGGCCAGCCCGAGGGTGCCGAGGACGAAGCTGATGCTGCCGAGGAGCTTGGCCACTAGAAGCCATGGCAGACATTGTTGCAGCCTAAGCAGGAAGACGCCCGTCTCAGCGATCGCGACTTCATTCTACAGACGCTGGAAGCCATTCGTGCCGCTGCGATAGACGCCACTTCGGCGGCATTGAGAGTTTGCACTAATGCAAATGCAAGACGCTGCGTTTCACATCCGGCTGGCAGAAATACAGTCCAAAGATAGTTGTTTTGCAGCAAGCGAGTAAGAGCCCATCGCTCAGAAGCTTGAGGGTATGGCAAGGTGTTGCGCAACAACGGGAGCAAGATGGTGCTTAGTGAGCTGGAGTCGCTTTCCAACATCAATTCCCTGAAGCAGGACTCTTGTCTTTGCCGGCACCATCGGAAGCCGCAGGCCATGTCATTGTGAGAATCGTTTCCACAGCGCTAGGAGCTGCCTGGTGGGAGCTCTCTGGTGCAGATCCTGAGGGCAGTGGGCAGCTTCAGAGTCAAGGACCGCGGCGACGGCGTCTTCGAGGTGGCCATGGTGAAGATCGATGGGACCTTAGTGACTCCTCGGACGGTAGCTTGCTGTTGATCATTCTTCTTCTTCTCAAAGGCAGGTAGCGGCAGAACAAGCCACAGTTGATGCGCACGATCTGAGGATCGGAACCCGCTCCCTGCCAAGGCACGCCATTTAGTTGTGGCCCTGCAGCTGCCATCTTGTCAAGTGACTGCGCATTGGGCTGGAGGTTGCTGATGCCTTTTGCATTCCGGCAGAGCCAGCTTCGGCCTTCCTGCTGTTGCAAAGGGTTGCCAGTTTGATTGATTGGGCCAAGGCAGCGCCACCAAACAAGAGGAAGCGGGAACTGGATGAGGTCTGCGCGGGTCGGCGCGTCAGCTTTGTGGCACCAGAGCGTGAGTGCTCAGGGCAAAGGGAAAGGCAAAGGGAAAGGGAAAGGCAAGCGGTCGAAGGGGTCCAAGGAGGCCAAGCCTGCCCTAGCCGAGGGTGCAGATTCTGAAGATGCGTCCAAATTGGATGGGGACACGAAGGGGACAGCAAAAGGAGAGAGACAAAGCAACAAAGGTGGCAAAAGCACGCGAGAAGCCAAGGGAGCAAAGAGAGCCAAAGGAGCCAACGAAGGAAAGGGAGGCAAAGGCAGCAAAGGAGGCAAGGGAGGCAAGGGGGGCAACGGCGGCAAGGGCAAAGGAGGCAAAGGAGGCAAAGGAGGCAAAGGAGGCAAAGGAGGCAAAGGAGGCAAAGGAGGCAAAGGAGAGAAAGGAGGCAAAGGAGGCAAAGGAGGCAAAGGAGGCAAAGGAGGCAAAGAAGGCAAAGAAGGCAAAGAAGGCAAAGGACAGAAAGCAAAAGGAGGTAAAAAGGAGAAATTTGGAAAGGGAGGAAAGGGAAGACAGGGAGGACAAGGCGAGAGAGAAGGACACGTACGCGTGAAGGGAGGCGTGCACAGTGCTCATGGCACAGCTGAAGAAGTGCTGATGCTTACTTTCCCTTCTGTGGCCATGGGCCACGGTGGAGGCGATAAGTTCCTAAAGAGGACACGCTCCAAAGTTGTGCTCCAGCTTAGGGCAGCCGCATGTGCGAGTAGTGCTTGTGACCCATCGCCTCATTGCTTGCTTCCTGTTGTATGCATTGCTAGGTCGGTTGATGCTTGTGGGACAAGGCGTCAAGATTGCATGAGCTTCCGAGGCCAAGACTGCTGTCACGGATGAAGTTCGACCCTGGAGGCAGGCTGCCCTTTGTGCGGCTGGCTAAGTTGTCTAGTCATGGCAGGGAATCGCAAGAATCCTCGACACGGGAGTCCTCAACCGGAGAGACTTTAGCCAGAGAGTCGTCGACCAGAGAGTCCTCAACCCGGGTGTCTTCCAGCTGGCCGGCCCTATTTCAGCCGCAGCCTCCCCAGCCTGATCGCACTCCGAAATCAGCTGGAAAAGGCTCGCGAGAAGGGCTGCACTCCTGATTGCTGACGTGCTGCCAACATTTGCCAACCCAACCTGGTTGACCTGCCAAATCTCCCTGTATTGTAAGAATCCGAATTTTGGCTTCGCTTCATCAGGTGAGTCCGTATGGTTCAATCAATTCATTCATTCTCGTCAAGATCCGCCGGTTCTCATACTGGCGGATCTTGAGGTTTCCCAAATCAACTTGGCAGCATGTCTTGCAGGGCGGCCTGCTCCTCGACCTTCCGTGGCACCGCACTTGCTGCCCAGTGCGGGCAGCGCACCAGCGTCCGCAACGCAGGTGTTGCCCAGGCCCAGTTTGATTCCCAGATTGATGCAACAGCTGGAATGTGTAGGCCCACATCCTTGTGAGCTCGGCAGTGAGTTTCCACCTAACCTCTAGTGGCCAGCCTGCGCATCTGCTATTGAAGGCAGAGGCAGCACTTGTACAAAGATATCCATGCGCGATGCTTGTGTGCATCTTGGGGCTGCAGCCCAGTTTATGCAAGTGTCGCTGCAATTGTTTGTTGGGTACGAGCGCCCAACAAGCAAAAGGGGGCCTGCTTGCAAACAAGCTGCTTGAGCATGGAACATGGAACATGTTACCATCTTGCAATGAGCAGCGAAGTGATCATCTTCGCAGCGGTAGTATTTGTGTGGCTTTGCATGCGTGTTTTGTGCTTGGTTACAATGCTTTTAACCAGATCAGATGCGCATTCTTTCCTTTTGTCTGCAGTCAGGAGGGGCCCACCCTTTGTTTGGCGGCTGTAACGGGGCAAGCCCGCCTTACTGATTACAGATGCGACGTCTTGTAGGTTTTGCAGCTCGTAAGCAGCTGCCATCCAGCAATGGCCGGGCATGTCCGAGAGCAAGTCTGCAGAGCATGCCTTAGAAGATAATAACTAGCTGCCCTGAAAGAGCTTGCACTTTTTTTTCTTCTCTTTTTTTTTTTGAGTTTTTGCGGAAACAAGGAACTCCCAGATGCCAGCGTGCTGAAGCGATTTGAAGTGGCCAGACACCTGAACTTGCATTATACACGCTTTGTCCGTCGCCAATGGCACATGTTTTGCAGGCTAAGCTGCTGGGCAAAGGTGCTTATGGAATAGTCGCCAGCTCAGCCAGGAATCGGCGACACAACCTTCAAAAGCCTGCTTAACCTGCAACGTGCGTTTCGCTGACAACAGGTTTGGAAAGTGAGAGAGAAGGAGACTGGGAGGAGATGCATTCACTTTCGGCAGCACTTTTGCAGTCATGCTTGGACTTTCGTGCCACCATGCGGCAGCGCAGAGGCAGCAAGTGTGTGCGCAGGATGTTTGCACTGAAGCGGTGCTTCGATGCCTTCCAGAACTCCACGGATGCGCAGCGCACTTTCCGGGAGATTGTTTTTTTACAGGCAGGGTGCGTCACTGGCCTGTACTTTGGCTTCCTGTAGTTTGACAGGAGCTGAACGGCCATGAGAACATTGTTCGTCTGATGAATGCGGGGCACTCTGGACTTGGGATGCTGATGCAGTCTCGAGTCCCATGGCAAGGTGATGAAGGCTGACAGCAGTCAGGACAGATGGCTGGCTACTGGGCAAGTCTTTGAGCAAGCTGGCCATGACGGTCGTGCTTTGTGCGAGGATCTCTATGTTATCTTTGATTACATGGAGTCGACTGCCTAAGGGGGGTGATCCAACTTACCAAAGATGATTGAGCGCTGCATGCCCTTTGCACCTTTTGTGGCACGAGCTGATCCAGTGCTGCATGCCCTTTGCACCTTTTGTGGCACAAGCTGCTTTGCTTTGCCCTCCTCAAAAGCACGACCCCACAAGCACGATTTCAACACCAACGGAAGAGCCGGAGGTCAGACCTGCAGAAGGCAATTGCTGCCAATTTGTTGGCTTCTCAATGCACCAGGATAGCGAATGCTGGCCTTGTTCCTGCCACCGTTGCAAAAGCAAGGCTGCAGCCAATTCATGTAGAATACGTCACGTATCAGATTCTTAAGGCTGGGGTGTGTTTGTTGGACTCTGGCTTTCACAAACTGCTTATGGCCTTTCCACGAGCTTTGTCCGTTGCCAGGCTTTAAAGTACATTCACTCTGGTGGTGCCAGGGGCCTGTGAGCCGAGGGTTGCAGCATGGGAGTGACTTGAGAAGTGGCCTCTGCATTTGGCAAGGTGCTGCACCGTGATCTGAAGCCTGCCAACGTTTTGCTGAACTCGCGTGGGCCGTAGTAAAGCTGGCAATTGAACATAGGCAACGTGCGGGGTCAGCTGTACTGAGGAATTGCCATGTTCGGGTATGCGACTTTGGTCACGGCCTGTGAAAACCTAGAATGCAGCTTCGTATCACTAAAACACAGCTGGTGTTGCAGAGGTTTGGCCAGAACGGTCTTGCCTTATACCGCACAAACTGCGGGGTGCCGGCCTTACTTTGCCAACCTATGCTAGTCAGCAATTGGCCAGTGCAAAGTGCGATTGCGTTTGACTTGCTTTAGGACCCGCCGAGATTCTCGAAGCTCCGAATCAGAGGCATGCTTCGGCATTTGCAGATCGAAGTGCAGGAGAGGTGTCCAAACGATGCAGGCTCACCCGTTGCTCACGGATTACGTTGCGACACGCTCTGGGCTCACTAAACTTTTTGTGCTAGCCGGTTTTGAGACAACAGACACTTGCATTGCCGAGGTAGTCGAGACTTTTTTGGTGTTTTAAGATCACAAAGTCCTTAATAAGAACAGGCAAAGCCAGGTACCGCGAAAATCCATCCCGCGAATGGGACATTGCAGGCCTCGAACACCAGGTCTCACCAGGTATTTGCCCTTGTTCGCACGTTCCGAACGGTCCCCTTGACTGCAAACTGTTTGGTATGTGTTTTTCACCAAGGCTGGTATCGGGCACCGGAACTCTTGCTGGGATCTACCATCTATTCTGAGGCGAAGACAGAGACAAAGTTGTTATTGCAGTCACCTGCTTCAGGGGGTCGATATGTGGAGCGTGGGCTGCATACTTGGCGAGATGGCGGGCAGCTTGGTGGATGTTGCCTGGTTGCTTGGCCCTGAGAGTCTGATTGAGGTGGCCGGCAAGCCCATCCTGCGCGGGAGGCCCCGCCACTGTGAAGATTTGCTTGGCCCACAAAATTTCTAAGGTCTACCATGGACCAACTTCAGAAGGCGACGCTCGTGAGCAAAGGAACTTCAAGGGTCAAGCTGGGTCACTCTGTGGTCCAGGACTTGTTTGCTGCCTTCGTTTTTCGTGGACTGGCCTCCACGTTCCCATCCGTGTTTGTCGAGTACTTGATGTCATGACTTCTCCTTCACGAGGAACTAGGGGTTGCCCGCACCGAAACCATGATGCACAGCCATGATGGAGCGTGTGGACAATTCCTAGTGGCAATTGCTGAATGTGCCACTGTGTCTAACAAACGAATTTATCCCGCGTGCGCAGCTGGAGAGAATGTGCATGGGCCGATGTTTGAAATCATCTGTTTCTGGCTTCATCTCTTGCTTGCCCGGTTGTTGTTGCCACTCTTCGGGCAGCAGGTAGTGGAATTGTGGCGGGCTGAGAGGGCCACAGCTGAAAGAGCGCGGTTGCGGCATGAGAAGTGAGGACTGGCAAGCCGAGCGAGCAAGACCTACGCAATGTTCTCAGCAGTGCATGCATCGCAGTCTCAAGCGGTCAGAAAGCGAAAGCTGCCAACTTCAGCAAGCGCTCAGGTCCGATAACTACGACTTCCCAGTACGTGCCCAGCTGAGTGCTTCGCAAAAGGATTGGCATGGGTATCTAGGTTGGATAGGGTTGAGAAGTCATTGGTAGATTGAATTTGCTTGGCCCCTCAGAGGCAACCCGCCTTTGCATAACTCGTTGCCCATCCTAACCACTGACACCACCCCAGCCCAACCTATCACTTTGCTTCTGCAACATTCCCCACATCGTGACCCCAAAGCTGCCACCAATGAGGCTTGCCGCAATAACTTGAACTGCCTACCCTACACATCTTTGCCAAGTCCATTTGCCTGAAGCATCCCCACCCTTTCGACCATTCCAACATCGATTTAACGCAGCGGCTGTGAATAGTTTGGATTGCGATGGGTGAGTGACGAGGCAGACGATTGATTGTCAGACTGGCAATGGTCCGAACTCTTGTGACGGGGGGTGTCATAGGCTGTTTGTCACCCTGACAAGCTTCCAAAGCACTTCACGTAATCAATGCCAAATGGGTCAAAGCTCATTGTCTTCCACGTGGCAAGGCTGACTCGTCCCTGGGTCTTTGTAGTTGTTGCTTTTTTTCTCCAAGGCCCGTTCGATGGCAGGGCACCTAACGGGATATGTCAAATTCATGACATCCTTGCGTTGCCTGAGTTGGAAAATCTGGGAAACGTTCGACAGATGCCTTCGCGTGAGCCTCATGGGGCCCCATCGCATTCTCAGGAATCGAAGTAGCTGTCATGTCTTGCAGGTCTGGTGTTTTATTTCTCCTGAAGCTCCCGCAACAGGACAGCAAAGACGGCAAAGAAATGCAGCAGAATGGGCATGGCTTGCAGGCCAAAACATTGACGCTCAACCTGCTGAAGTTCAATCCAGAACGAAGGCCCGGGGCTTGCAGAATTCTGGCGACGTTGGCGAATGTTAGTGTCACATCAAAGGCCTTCGGCGGAGCTGGCCCTGCAGGATATATTTCTGGAGAAGTTCTTCTTGCAGGCAGCTGTTTGAGCCACCGCGCTCTGTGCGGTTCCTTAGCGCGTGGGGAAAGTCGAACCGGGAAGAGAGCATGTCAGGAAGCAGAGCCTGTGTGGGGAGCCTAGATCGGAGTGATCAAGGACATTGGGCTGCCAAGATGTTAGGCTCTGATGGTAAATTGACTGGCTTGATTGAGAAGAAGTGGAGCCTGTAAACCCACAAAAGCCAAACGAAGGATCCATGCCAAGAGGGCAATTGTCTGGCAGCAGGTTGGCATTTTGCTGCAGAGGCTTCACAGTTCATGCGTGAAGTTGAAGGTGCCGACTTGTGTCCTTTGGCATTCGAAGCGACACACTGCCCACCTGTATAGCCTTTTGCTGCCTTTGCTGGTGGCAATCAGTATGTGTAGGTACCATCTGTGCACGGCCGGCCTCTTTGTGCTAAAAAGTCTGCCGAAGAATTACGGAAGCCATGCCGAATGCAGGCAGGGAGTGTGAATCTAGGGACCTATTCTGGACCTGGCGCGTTGGAGTTGTCGCTCTTGCACGCAGATCCCAGACCAGCGTCGTTTTTCTCCGTCTGGCAGTCAAGTCGAACCTTTGGATTCAACTTCTCGTCCTTCCGAAGCACGTGAGCCCTGGCAGTTCACGCAATGTTGTTGCCTTTGAACTCGCCGCCGGCAAACGTGGACCCACAGGGCCGTTGCCACCGCACCATGGTGGCTTGGCGTTCTGGGCTGCATTCCTATGTCATGCAGTTCATGTTGCGAGAGGCCGCGTTAGGTGGGCGTTGCGCAGTTGTAACTGCCGGATTTTGCCTCCTGAAGGCGCCGCTGCGGTTTCCGCGCAACAGACCACACTTCTTGGCAGTGAGTGCGCGGCTTTCGACTTGTCTTTGGGCTCGCAGCTTTGCAATGCATGCCACATGCAGCTGCGCCACAAGCCGCTTGCTTGCCTCGGGGTAAGGGGGGCTGCGTTTGCGTGACTTGCACGCACGCAGGCACCAGTGGCACCATCCAAGCACACGCACACACACACACACACACCCACTCACATGCACATGTTCGGCGTGCTCATGCGCAGACGCCCGCGCCCCAAACCACGGGCGAGACCTTTAAACGCCGCTACAGGAGAAGACACGGAAACCTAAGCAATGCAAAGCAAACCTGCAGATGAAAATCCAAAGGGAAGCCGAGGCTTAGGGCACTTCTGAGCGCAAACTTGAATCTAATCCACCCTCCCTGTCTTGTAGACAAGGAAGCAGCGAGAAACCAGCAGGCAGAGGAGGCAGACAACGTTACAACGCAGAGGACCGAGCAACAAGAAACACTGACGAGCCGAAGAAGAAGTTCACAGAGAAAGAAGTGGATGGAGCACCAGAGGCCTCGAATGAGCGAGGGTGCCTGCAAGATCAAGCCGGAAGGAGTTCAGGTGGAAGTCTTCGCCCGCCCACTGCGATTAGAAATATGTTCAAAGTTCAGTGGGCTGATGCCACTGGGGCCACGCCAAGGTGCGACAAGGTGATCCGTATGCCTATTGCTGATGTGACAAAGCTGAAGGCCGGGCATGTCGAGGTACATTGCAGACGGTTGGCTGTGAAATAATCGCGTTCAGCCAATAGCGATGCACTAACCTAGGTGCGTCTTCAGCTGCATCAGTTCGATGTTCATTCATTTGGTGGCATAGGTGTTGTTGGTGGGCTCCAAGTGGTTTTGTTGCCTAGGTTTGGCGGGCTGGGTCGTGGCACGGTCCGGTCCGGCGGTCGGTCAGCCGCCCACGCTGGACCAACGGGTTGCGGTTACCTTCATTGGAGGGCCATTTTGCCTTTTTTGCTTTGCAAGTTGTTGTGGCCTTTGGTGGCTTTTAGACCCACCCCAACCTACAAGTAAACCCCACCCCAAGACACAACAAAACCAACCTCAACCAAACCTGAACCACACTGAAGACACCCTAAAGAAACCTTAAACCAACCCTAATTCCACCCTAAACCCAATCCTAAACCTTAAGCAACAACTAAACAAGCCCGAAACCCACCCTAGACCAGCCCTACTCCCTCCCTATCCCCACGCTAAACCAAGCCAGAACGAACCTTAAACGACCCTCAGCAAACCCTATACCAGCCCTAACCCCCGAAACCACTCTAGGCCAACCCTAAAGTTGCACTAAACCAGCCTAAATCCACTCGACACCCACCCAAAGCCAGCCCCAAACCCACACCAAACTAGCACTAACCCGAAGCACACCTTTTCCAACCCTTTAGCCAGAATCAACCCGAAACCCACTCTCAAAACAACTCCAAACTGGCCACCCACCCCCAAACCAGCACAAAACCCACCCTTAACCAACCCTAAACAAACCCTAAGCAACTATACCCAAAGGTTCTGGTGATGCGGGTGTTGAACAGGATGCTGCTGGGGATGTTGACTGTGGTGTAAGGCTGGTGCATTTCGTTAGGAACTACCGTAAAACACGTCATTGGTGCCCGGGGAAAAGAACCATTCCGTCGTCCAGGCATCTGACTACCGAGCCGTTGCCTTTAGCCAAAGGAGTCAGCTCTTGGAAGCGCGCCATCCCGAGGATCAGATCTTCACCATGATTGGCCAGCGTCGCAGGATGGCGCAGGA